TGTGAATGCTATTTTTACTTGAACATAATATTCCCACAAATTCTGACCTTTACATGGAAGTAAAGCTATATTGTAACCTGTGCGCTTGGTTTAGCAGCGTTTCCTCACAGTGAACAGGTTTCCACACAGTTCTTCAACAAAGTAAATACGGTCAAGTATGTCTAGCATTAAGGAACTCAACTTTAAATGACAACTTAGAATTAGCCACTAGTTAGCTTAGCTACCTAGCCATGACCGTGCTTCGCTAAAAACCTAGAGACTTGCAGATCTGATATTTAAATGAGATATCAGTCTGATACTGACCCAAGAAGTTTGATTAGATAATGATGAGGACAATGAATCAGTTTTATATTCTTTTGTCTTTATTCTGCAATGCAACAGCAGAGCTAACAGCAGAGCTAACAGCAGAGCTAACAGCAGAGCTAACAGCAGAGCTAATGTAGCATAGAGGAAGCTAACAGTAGTTTACAGGTATTTCACGCTGCAACATCAACATCTTCTGTTTGTGTGTTTGTGAAAGTTTTTGACTTGTCAGCAAACTGTAATTAAAGTGTGCTAAAATAAAAAGATCCAAGCATAACCACGGATTACTTTTAGCTTATCTAAAAAGTCAGACTATTGATACGGTGCAAAACTTGTTGGTAAGCTTTTAACATACTTACGTAGTTGTCAGTGTGATTAAATGTTATTTCACTTTAGCTGAAACAGAAGAAACAGCTGCAACTGTAGCCTGTAACTCTGCTTTGATGTGAAATAAAACCAGTGCAAATGTATTATGAATGATTTATTTTTCCCTTCCTTTATTGTGTGCCTGTTTTCATTTATCTCATTAATAAATTGTAATTCATATATTCATATATTTGTGTTCATTTCTTACATGTACAGATGATTAAACACTGATATCAGATCAGTACTGGGCATCGACAGCAAAGGTGTCGTTATTGGATCGGAATCGGAGAAAGTTGGATTGGGCCATTCCTCAACAAAACCAGTACTACTATTTGTTAATACTTGGCATCTCTTCTATAAATAATTTAAGGAAAACTGCACTGACACAACAGTGAAAAGAGCAACACCGAAGTCACATGACTTTAACCCCTGCTGACCTCCTGTGTTCAGTGTCATTAAGTTGAAGGTTCTCAACAACTTTTCTAGTCCTAAAAGTTTCACAGTTTAAACGTGGACTTTATGTTCCAGGTGAGGGAACCAAAAGTGCAAAAAAGTCAGCTACTTCCTGCTGTAGGTGTCCAGACGACTAACTGTAGGATGGATGCAGCTTCTGGGTCTGAAAAGCAAGGAGCCTTTAACTTGGATTGTTTTACCACCAGCAGGTGGTGACTCTCTGGTTTCAGGAAGGGTTCTGCTATTAAAGACGTCTACGGGAAAATGACCATCGGTTATCTTGCTCTCAGTGAGCTCAATCTCTAGTTTCAGGTCTACGGATTAAAATACTGAGATTATTTGGTCAGTATCAGAGTCAGAGTATGCTCACTGGGTGACGACTTCATGAACAACACTTTACTATTTTCTTCAGTAGGAGAATTTGCAGATAGTGAAATAAATCGGAAACATTTTTCTTTGAATCCTCTCAATTACAAATTGAGCTGCACACAGGGTGAAAAGGGTCTAACCCTTGTAATGTTTAAACATATGAAACTATTTAATTTATCTTTAAGAAAAGGGGCAATAATAAGAGAACCATGTGTACCAAGCAAAATCACATCTTAATCAAATTCCCGTAATGTACAGAGCTGCAGAGGATGAACGAGTCGGGGGGAGAATAGGTTTTCTTCAGCCTCAGTGTGACAGACACACAAGTCTCTCATTTCCCACAGCTTTGTTTTAACCACAAACAGAGACTTGACTGTCTGCAGACTGATAATGTTGACTCTTCATCAACCTCCATGTGACACCCCCAATTAAACGAAGTTGTGTTGGCATAAGACAGCATGACAGAAATGTCATTTCAGGCACATTTGAAGACTACAAGGCAAACTGCAGCACCTGCAAGTCCATAAATATTTAATCGTGCCCAGGCTCTGCCACTGCCTAAATGGCACAGACTGTCTTGCTGAGGCAGACTCAGCACCCCATGCTGCTCTTTATTCCTCCCTACCCCCTAGTTGACCTTGTCCCGATTGTCCTCAGGTTTGTTTACAACCAAAATAAAACGCAGGTGCATATGCCGGTTCCCACGCCACCCTCCGGTGCCCTCGCTGCTCTTACTGAAAGCACCAGTCTGACTACAGTAACAAGGAGTCAGCCATGACACTGCTGCTGCACAATGAACGAGGCATGACTTCATACTGATATAGAGCTAAAATAATAAATAAATGGCATCAAATTGTTTGTGTAGATGTCATAAAAATCTTTATCATTTTCTACTTTTGATGTAGAATTGTTGAGCAGTAGGGGACGGCTGTAGCTCAGGTGGTAGAGCAGGTCATGTACTAATCACAACGTTGCTGGTTCAGTACTTAGCTGCCCAAATGTGCCTGCCAAATATCCTTGGGCAAGATACCAAGTTTCTCCCCGATGCATCCATCATAGTGTGAATGTTAGAAAGCACAGAAACAGTGCTTGTATGAATGGATGCATATTGCTATATAAGAATCAGTGCACTTACAATTTAATAACCTTACTTAGAGGATAAATCATAAAAATAAGTGCTACAAAAATCAAGGCGATGCTAAAAAAAACTGCAATTCCTAAAGTGACCACTTGAGGCAGAGTGCATCCATCCATTCTCTTCCACCTATCAGTTTTTAGGACCGTGCAAACATTGGGTGGACATTCAAGCTCCACACAGAAAGGCACTGGTCAGACCAGCGCAAACTGGGTTTTTTGGGGGGGGGGAAAGAACAAAAAAAGTTCAGTATTAACAAACAGAGTGCAGTTACAAGAGGAAGAGGAAGAGGTGGGAACTTCTATATATGTGCCTGACCCTGTTGCATATATATTTCCAGGAGTTCCTTTCTCAAGGGGCAAAATATAGAGAGGGGAATATTTAAATCAAGTATGCAGTCTCCTTTATTAACATTTGCATCACAGAATTTACTGCTAATTGCACCAAAAAACAGCATGTCTTGCTTGTGCTTGATATTGGAATGAACTGACTGCACCTGTGTTAAGGAAATAGTGCAACGTCTGTAAATCGCCTGTAAAACTAACCCCACCTATTTGGGGGTTGGACTCACACACTATTTTGTGTATTTTAGCACTTATTAGTAGGTATCTGAGCATGTCTGAGGTACTCACACAGTCTATAAATGAATCTTGTTAATTAAGTGTTCTAGTGTTAGCTGATAACTTAGTAATCCATTCACATTTCTGGCTACAAAGAGCCACGGCCACAAAAACTCCAGGTTTGGAGGAGGTGAAGAAGGAAGTTCAAAAGCCAGTGTAATGTCACAGCACTACAGCGACCAGTTCCACTGTTACATCCAGTCGATCTTATCATAAATGTTTATCATAAGTGGACAACACATTTTAAAGCCTCAACACCAACATTTTTTTAAATGTTTTCTGAACAAGCCTCGGGACATTTTTTTTTCAAGCCAGAAATTCCAATATTTAGATGCAGGGGACTAATAAAATACCAGAATTTCATTCACTAAACCTGAAGCACAGACTTGTTGGATGGTCAGTTCCATTAAAATGCTCCAAAGCACAAACATACGAGAGAAGACCGGCGGAGTGACTGAAATGATCCAAAGTAAGATTTAGCAGTGTTCACCTACAGATGCCTGTTGACACACTATCAAAGTGACAATTTCCCTAACTTTGAGCCTTTGTATTAAAAAAGTGAGAAATGTCCCAGGTGTCAGACATGTTCATGTGGTCAGTTCTGGTAGTCTATGGGGACTGGCTTACTTTTGGAACTAAACTCAAGTCCATTAGAGGAGCAGCGGGTTTGTGCTCTTCCTTATTGGCTGTTTTTCAGCCCCAGTGATTTCTCATTGGTTACTGACTTGTATCAGCTGTTACCTAATTTATACATTTTGCCACAAGTAAGCAGACACCTGCTTATTCCACCTATATGTACTGTTGAAAGTTCCAAAATGAGTACGCTGCTTTGGAGTTTCCACTCATCGAGTTGCAGGCATTTCTTCAGCTTTAAGGTCAACATGAAAGATTCAGACGTTATGCTTCAAATGTTAGACGAGTTCTTCGGTCAGCTGGGAAGAAAAACGTGTTTATGTTGTGGCTTTGTGTATTGAAATGGTGCAAAGTGACACAAAGTTGAAAGCACTGATGGCAACATTATCACTCCTCTTCACTGGAACTCAGGAAAGTGTTGCCAGTACTGCTACTCCCAGTGTTACACCCTGAACTGCTGCTATGCATGTACCACTTGTACTAATAATGGGTTTTACTCTTCACTGACCTACACTGGTGCTAAAGGGGCCACCCTGATAGAATCAGCAGCAGACGATTGTTGACAGTCTCTCACACACACACACAGACAATCTAGCCTCTGGTCCACAGGCATATTGAACATATGCTATATCTTCTGGCAGTGTGTGTGTGTGTGTGTGTGTGTGTGTGTGTGTGTGTGTGTGTGTGTGTGTGTATAGCTGGATTAAGCTGAGGGAGAGTGAGGGCTTACTGTAGTCCAGCAGCTGTACAAACACGGCAGCCAGATATTACCGTTCCCTCACTGAGTGCCATCTCTCCCACACTCTGCTGCCACAGTCCTGAGCGCACTGGAGGTGTCATTACAGGCACCTATGGTTACTGTTGTCGCACAAAAGCCCTCATTGGGAGGATTACCTCGAGTCACAAACAATGACACAGAACCCGAACCATCTGCAGACCTTAGACAGGAAATTTAAAGCCCCGGCTCGAGGGAGGTGTTCGGAGCCACTTATTTGTCTGTCTGAGAGCCTCCGTGAAATGGATCACAGTCAGAGGTGCGCATGAGCACAGAGTGAGCGCTGTGAGAGTTTGATTTGAAAACGCGCAGAAAAGTCCCACAAAGTAAAGTGGTCTGTTCTTACCTTGCTCTGTGAGGACGCATTTTTACACAGAATCAGCAGACAGGCCAGCAGCTTCGTATAGCTCCACATTTTCTCTCGTGCGTCAGTTTGTGCGCAATAAATTTAGAAATCCAAAGCGGGAGGTGCTGCAGGCATTCCAGAGCGCTGCGCCTATTTCAGCTCCATTTCCACTTTGCACAGAACACGTACAGTATGCGTGAGCCTGTGCGTGTGGATGTATGGATGGCTGGATGTTGGTGCGCACTCTGTGTTCAGCCAGGCGCGTAGTGTGCATCATCCGTCATCCGCTATCTTCCGCGGATGGGAGGGGTTTACACGCTAATACCCATAATGTGTGTGTGTGTGGTTGTGTGTGTTCACTGTGTAGAGGACGGATAGCTTCGGTTTAAAAATATGTGCTTAAAGAAAAAAAGTAGAAAGATTATTATCCATAGTCACTAAATTAAACTACTTTATAAGTGACTGTGATCTGGATTTGTAGCTTTCCATCCGTGCATTTAACTGTTCTCCGACACTGCGTCGCTCTTTGCAAGTTTAAAGGCGGTGATGAAAGTCGCATAGATTTTCACAAGACTAAGCTCTAGTATACACTTGAATGCCTGTGGCGCCACCGTCTGGACATTGTTGAGTACTTCTGTGACTGTCGGGGTGACTGTCCCGACCTACCCGTGGTCTTGTAGCTCACCATCTTCAGAGGATTTTTTGTTAAGCCAATTAAATGAATCGTTCAAGCATACAACACATTTTGTGTGAAAACATATCAGGAAACCTCTGGGATGATTTTGTGCTGCTGACATGAAGCAAAAGACAAAGTTCTCAGACGAGCTTCAGTCTGGACGCTTCTGAGGCTGACGGTAGTTCACCTGCCTGATGCTTCAGCCTCCCGTGGAGGAGCAGTCAGCAGAGACATCTGCAGGACATGAGGGAAACAGCATGTTTAACAATAGCTGTAGATAGAGCCAATGCAGACTACTGATCCTTATTTAGGTTTCCTTTGAAAACAGCAGAAATGTCCCACTCTGTTTGAGGGGCAGGAAAACGAACTGTATGCACGTTTTTGTGTGTCTAACACAATTATTACAGCTTGTATTTTCAAATTAGTTGGTAGACTTTTTTTTTTTCATGTCAGTTTACTTTCTGTTTCCAGAGCAGGTTTGCTGATTTCAGTGTAGTTTTTAAACGTTTCACTGTTAACTTTAGTCTTTTTAATTATGATTGTATACGTCAGAGGCAAGATTAAGGACATCAGTGCAAGTAATGCAATGAAAATCATCTCTTTCAAAGCCACTGACTCACACACATCTCAATAAACACCTCCATCAAAGCCTAATCACTAACAGATATCATAACCTCCTTTTTCGTTTTTATTTTTTATTTTTGTTGCTTTCCAAGTTCAAAAAAATGTTTTACTTTTTTTTCAAGACTCAAGTTTTTATTTTTATTGCAGTGAAAAAAAGTGTCTTTCACATCTAGCTTTGGTTAACTATGAGAAACTTGGTGTCTACATTTTTCCCGTCTGAGATCAGGTTGAAAAAACCTTAAAGAAAAACAAGTCTGTTCTCTGTTTAAAAGAACCTTTAAAGCCAGGAAGTATCCTGGGTACACAGATGAGTATGAGTACCAGTGCAGAAAAGGAAATGATAAAAGAAGATAAACAGGACCCACAGAATTCCAATATCCACTCGCCACTGGTTTCCTTGAAAACTTGGAAGAGTGTAATCAATCTTTCCCCCCATTTTAATTCAGTTTTAAGTTAATGTAAATTCTTTTGTGGGTTCTAAAATAATGAATTGTTCCAAAAGTGTTTGTTGAAACATTGTAATAAAGTACTACTGAGCACATCTTATTCCACACTATTGTTTCATGCTATTGCTTCGTGCTTGTTTTTGACAAACCTTGATCTGTTACCTGGAGGACTCTGATAGAAATCCTGTTGTGTGTGTGTGTGTGTGTGTGTGTGTGTGTGTGTGTGTGTGTGTGTGTGTGTGTGTGTGTGTGTGTGTCATATAAAACCCCTGATGATCAAAGCGGCTGAAACAATAGGAAACTAACACTGCACGGGGATTATCAAAAACAAGGCACAAAACCTGAATACTACTGTGCATCTAATCACACTCAGTTCAGTTCACAACAACAGACTGTGTGTCAGGTGCAGCAATATTAGAGAGAAAACCCAAAGTGATGCGATCCTGTCTGAGCAGCACTTGATGGCGAGTGGAAGGCAAAGCTTTTTTTTTATAAAAGAACCAAAAGTACACACCAAAGTTACTGACATGTAGGAGTGGCAGTGGATTTATCACAGCTGTTTCTACATCGTGATATTTTCAATTTAAGGTTAGTGGGACTTATAAAACATTAGAAACATTAGAAAACAGGGAGCTGGCACTCAAAAAAACCCACATATGAGGAGAATAACTTCCACTGGAAAAAAAAATACAACAACAGCTCTGAGAAAGACAACAAACTTTAAGCTGTTTTTAATCCGTTTTGATTGGTGAAATGTGAAAATGCTCTTTATACATTTATACTTTGTTGTCCCTCTTCCAACTGTTAAGGACACATTTTTTTCTTTCAGACTCTGCAGTGGCTTTGCGCTATTATCACATAAACAGAGACTTTAAATGGTTGGTTGTAATAACATTGTTTTTGAGTCAGGTTAAATACGCCAAGTGACATACGTTTTAACGAGCTGCCAACAAAAACACGTCGGGTAATATTGGTACGGTGGCTGGGAGCCTTTCAGCTAAACCGCTTTTTCACACACAGAGACTTTGTAAAGAGACCATCAGAGGGCGCTGTAACCCCCAAATTATTCCTCGCCCTACCGTCTCCGCAGGATGGCAGCAGACCTTTAACTGGTGGGTAGGTCACTTTGCTCCTCCAAACAACAAAAGCGCTAGTGTTTAATTACAACAACGCGGAGTACACTCAGAGAAACGTAGCCAAGGTTAGAAAAGTGCAAACATATCTTTCTTAAATTGCAGATGCAAAGCCGGAGACACATTTGGATCAGTGAACTCAGCACACACTAGGACAGTTTATTGTGAGCGCACAGTGTCCTCAACACGTTTTGTTTTTCAATTTTCGTGTAGCTAGCTAGCTAGCAGCAGAAGCTGATTAAAGTGTGAAATAGACCCGAGAGTCCCTACCCGAAGTCTGCTCTGCACAGGCCCGTCCACCCAGCCGCCTCCTCGGTCATGCTGGTTGTCACGGTTGCTACAGAAACGCTAAACTACTGTGAACCGATTACATTAAGCTCGCACTGCAGTGACTCGTGGCCACTATGAATGTTGGCGTTTTTAATTACCAAGCTGTATGATGCTGCATTAGTGCACCTTACAGCCGAGGGCACAGTGACTTTATTGGGCGAGCCTGGACCTTCGAGGCCCGCCCGAAACCCGACGCTGACTCAGCGAATGTGAAACATCTGTCTCTGGTTACTAACCGAACAGCTGTCCGGTAACTATGATTAGCATTATCATGCTAGTTTTCGTCTTGTCGTGGTAAACGCTGGCCTTCAATTTTACCAGAGACCAGAAAAGGGCGGTTACGAAACTTCATGTCCCACAATTCCTTCAGACCAATAAGGCACGCTTGTTACGTAATATCTGTTGTGTGTTTGTGCTGCTTTCGCGTTATGTCGGAAAAACCACAATGTAAAATATTAAATAAACAAATCAGCAACAATGCTGAACAATCTAACGCTGAATAGTAATGAAAATAAAACGATTTTTCTGTTTTCAATTAGCTTTAAAATAGATTTAATAATAAAGAGATCTCACCTCATACTGTGCTTTGGTATGTGTGAGAAAACAGTGATGTTTTCATTATGAAATAAACACACTTACATAAGTAATTCATTTTGATTTGTTCAAAGGTCTAACAAAAACTGAGTTTATTTGAATTATTTATTGAGCATAGTGAATATGATTTATTTCAGTTATTTAATTATTTGCTTAGGAAAGCAACTTTTGGGGCGTATTCTATCAAATCTGTGTCAGGCTTATGTTCTGGATGTTTTTCAAATTAGTAAAATGACCAGGAAGTATCTAAGTAACTTGACAAAAGCTGGTCAAATTCTCTAAATGCCTGGAAAAGTTGATTTAGTGCTTCCTTTCTTGTGTTATTTTAGCAAGGATACACAGGACAACCCTTTACAAGAGAAGGAGATAATGCACTTGTGCCTTTTCAGTCATATGTGCTGGGTTTCCTGTCACATAAGAAACAGGATTGTAATCTTGAACAGACATTTCATTTCACTTTTGTAACTGCTAGCCAATATGTCAGTGTTTTCACAGTTTGAATTTTCATTTTTTTGTAACTCTTTCCAATAAATATTTCTGAAATACTCAGAATGTTTTTGAGACCCTAAATACAGATCGATTACAGAACTGGTTAAAAAAAGATTGAAGAAGCACATAATGTGTTAGTAACTGTGCTTGGGCAACCGGACAGATGGACCTGGAGTAACACATCAATGTTTAAGTTGAGTCAAGCCTAACTACAGACAATCCAGCAACAGTCAGTTATCAATCACTTGGTTTCTCTGAGAATTATACTTCAAGGAGTTTAATCAGACATTCCTCCTCCTATCAGACGCACATTTTGGAAGCTGGTAGGTGAAAAATTCATTTTCTTGTAGTGAAGGTTGTCAGTCATCCAGGTCATCGTAGTCAAAGGAGCTTGCAAAGAAAAGAAGTCCAGACGCTTTTCTTTGCAACCACCTTTGACCATTTTCTTGTAGGTTTTACTTTCTGAAAACTATGACTTGACCTACTCTGCTCAGTTCCAACTCCACTCCTGAACTTTACTAGGATAGCTTAGCTATTTATCTTATACTGGGCCTTAGTACAGCATCCTCTCTTAATCAAGCTGTTTATTTCCTTTCCTCCTTCCTTCTGATTGGCTGGCCCTAAAAATAAAACTTGTGGTAAGTGGGCTTCTGTTTACAGTTGGAGCTGTTTGCCTGAGATGCCCATACTAGGGAGACCTGCTATCATCATAAAGTGTCTAAATTAGAAATAAAACTGCCTGAAACTGAGTGTTTAGAGCAGTGTGAAGTCTGAGTTTTTGCTTCTCAGATCTGCACTGACTTCATCACTTGAGCATCTGAAACTACACCACTAATGTAAAGAAATAATAAATCATAGATATGAAAAAATATTGTGTCGTTATTATGTGAAAGGATTTCAGTCATAAATATAAGATGATGTGACGTTTTGCATAGAAGCCTTTGTCCAAGACCCCCATCACCACTAATTGATTTAAGAAGCTGCCGTCCACCACCCTCCTCGACATCCTCAAACGCACCATCGGTGGGGGGTGTGGATCCAGCTATTCCTTGCTGACTGGAAGCAGGGGGGTCAAAGCATGGGTCCGCGGTTCGAGTACTGAGTCAGTCAAGCTAAACACGGCGACCAAAGCAGCGCCAGCTTCACTTTAGACCGAAGCGCCAGTGCTGTCATCCTGCCCCTTCACCCCCACGCGCGTGGTTCTTTCTCCGCGGCGCGAAGGGGCGACGTCGGACTCGAGCTGACTCGGGTTCAGTCCATGCAGGAGGATGGAGATACAGAAGAGGGCGACTGGGTTCGACTACCCGGAGAGAAACGACGCCAAGCCAGTAAACGGTAGGCAAACCTGGCGTGGAACAGCCTCCTTCGCGTCCGCACACGAGCACACGTAGCCCGGCTGCTGCTGTCCCGGGCACCGCTGCTCACCTCAAAACATGAGCGCGTGGCTGTGGCTGTGTGATCAGCGCCTCATCACTGCTGCTGCACGAGCCTTTCACGTGCACCGCTGCCTTTCTGAAGCGGCGCTGATGAAAACGCGCAAGTTTAAAAAAGGAGCAGCGGGACAGCCGCGTGATTTTATTTTTATTAGACTCGGAGACGTTGGTAACGAAGTTAGCAGTGTAGCACGGATGAGTTTGTTTCACTGGTGGACATGACTTAATCGTGTGTGTGTGTGTGTGTGTGTGTGTGTGAGAGACACACAGAGATGGCGCTGGGCTCGCTGGGAACTGAGGTCGGAATGTTTTTATTTGGAGGTGGTCAGTCAGGCTCGGGAAGATCGTAAAAGGTGAACTTTTGAACTTGGAGAATGCCCCGAAGCCTTTAGTCCTTTAAGTCCTCAAAATCCGGCACTTCACAGGATGGCAAGAAGGCCATAACAGAGGATGCAGAGGTCCACCCCCCTACTGCACCGGTCCCGCTGACTTTTGTTTACAGTGGCACGGTGCTGCTGGAAAGGCTTCTTATTCAGTGTGCCTGATACTCGTTTCTAATATTCTGTGATGCTGACCAGCTCCAGGCTCACACTAAGCCCACAATGCCTTGCAGCAGACTGTCCCAGGCGCCAGTCCCATATCGTGCCCCCGTGCGGGTGGCTGAAGATTTATTGACATTTCCAAGATTAAAATTCCTTTAACCCTGTCAGCCCTGAGGACCTCAACGTGACTTATGGATATCGGGGTGGACTTTGTGTTCTGATCCACTTAATAAGTCTCATTATGAAGATTTAAGACTGTTTAAGAAGCACGTTAGATTGAAATGTCCCCCTAAGAATTTCCCTTAGATTTCTTAATTTAATAGTAAAATTAATGCATAATTTTTTTAGGCTTAGTTTCATTTTAATACTGAAATTATTTCGTGAATGTACTCACAATTATTTATTAATTTTGATTAAACATGAATAATTTAATATTTTTTAAAGTATGTTTTGTGGTGGGGACTGCTGCTTGAGTCGTTTCAGGCGTTGTCTTTGTTTCACTGAAACACATCCTCTGTGGGTTCCAGCAATAATCAACAGAATAATCAATAATGACGACAACAGCCTGAGCAGTTCTACAGATTAAATCATTTTAATTTTTCAATCGTAGCATAAAAACACGAGTAAAGAAATACACCCCAAAAAATAAAAAGTATTTCGTAAAACGTTTTGAAATCATTTTAGGCTCGTTGATAATTCTGTAAATAATGTTTTCCCTGCATATTGTTAGAATATGTCTCGTCAAAATGTTTATTTCTTCATCATGTCTTAATTCATTAATACCTGGTCTTAAAATTCAGGATATGGCAGGAATTTCTAAACGCCACACATGACTGAAGGAAACTAATAAACACTTCAAATGCACAGATAACCGATTATTCCACGTTTCTGTGGTGGTCAAACACAAAAGTTGATGATTAAAAATGAACGTTCAGCCTTCAGCTGTCGTTCACACTGTAACACCAAACTGTGAAACAAACAATACTTAATATTACCCATGAGTCAGTATCTTTAAAAAGACTGATAGCAGCTGATTCAATGGTCAGTGTTATCTTTGCAAACAAAACGGCTTATTTATCATTTCTAATTGTTTGCAGAGTAGGAAACAGTAGGTAAACAGAAATGACAAACAGGAGGAAATACATGAAAACAAAGTAACAGGCTGAGTATTTGTAACAGGATTTTACTTTGAATGGTTTTGGCCTGATGTCACTCAGCATCAGCTCGTATGTCCACACATCCCTACTTTCTCGTTTCATTTGAGATTTGATCTTGAAAGTGACCACTTTGATACTTTTTCATCAAAAGATGTTTAGCAGAGTAAATATTGTTGTTTACTTTAATGTGAGTTTATTTAGTAAAGTAATAGAAACCACTTTGAGATTTTAATCGAGTACTTCCAGCTCTTCACTGCAGTTTGTTGCTTTTCTGTGTCATATGGAACAGTAAGCAGCGCATGTGCCCCCCCACTCACCTGCCCCAACACACACACACACACACACACACACACACACACACGGGATGATAGGTTTGATGCATGGGTGAAGTAGACTGGCATGAACTGGTTGAAACAAAGTGCTTTGTCAGCCCCTGCTCTGCTGGTACATTTGTTGTGTGTGTGTTTTTCCCTTGGGGCAGAGTGAAGGGGGTAGCTGGCAGTGGGTGGGACAGGGACAGGATACAAACACCACCCCCGCCATCCCACCCCCGATTCTTGAATGAGCCAGGAGTACAGTAGAGGCGTGTGGGGGTGGAGTGGAGTGTGGGGGTGACAGGAATGTAGATGTGATCCATCATGTTGTGTTTTTTTCTTTTTTAAGAACACTTCCTCTGCTGCCACAATATCAGTGTTAGCATCAGCACACACACACACACACACACACACACACACACACACACACACGTTTTCATTCAAGTTAATCAAGAGAAGAAACAAAAATCATTGCAGCGCCTTCAGCATCATAGTGATTCTTGTCTTTCAGTCAAGCCTTTTTTGAACACACTCCCCACCAGGTGGTGTCGCGCTTGTTTTGTTGTTTAAAGAAAGGAAAAAAGATAAATGTATCAGAGAGTGATAATACAAAACCAATATCATGTATGTTTCCGTTTCTAATGAAAAGCTCATTTTCCTCTGTGGTCTCTGTGGATGACAGACTTCACTGTGCTGTAAACTGAAGCTCAGTTTTCATGAAGCAGGACAGTCATTTTCTCTGTTCGACTCGTGAAAAGCCTCGAGTGCACTTTTACTCTGTGGCTGTGAGTATTTTAACATTAGATGGTGAGCGTCCATATGGACGTCTGTTTTGTGACGTGTGGACTCGCCCATATTGACTTAACATCACAGCGCACCGTCTGCACTCCAGGCGGTGGTTTATAAAGTGTAGCAAGAATGACTGCTTGGCTGTGGGTGTCTGCAGTGGAGTGTAACCAAAGCATCAGGTCTCTCACAGGTTCAACTCTGTAAGTCTTAACAAACGAAGATGTGTTATCAGAAGATCCTGTAAGTGCTGCAATAAATGCACATCGCTGCAGCGAAAAACAAACAAATAAAGCAGGTGGCTTTATAATGTGACCCTGGTATAGATCAGCTTCATCACACAGGCCTGTGGGCAGTGAGTAGACAGATTTCTAAAATGATGGAGTAATACAAAAACCTACAAAAATGTCCTGTTGCAATTACATTACAAGTACATGTTTGGTTTTTAAAGTATATATTTGTTATTAAACATTCAGAATCTGTATTTATATTTATATATTTTTATTTTCTTTATATATCTGCAGCTGTGATCACTGTGATAGTGCCCTCAGTTGTGTCCAACGTAGAAATATCTCTAGATTTTCAGGTTTTCCTGTCTCGCTGCTGCGTCTCTCCTGATAATATGATAAGACTTTAGTAACAACATCAGGATCTGTTTGCTCTTTCATGATTGTCCCACATACTGAGAGGACATCTGGCCTGATTGGTTTAACCTTCTATTTAGATGTCAGAGGTCATTACAGCTAATCTCAATTTGATTCTTGACCCAAGACAGCGTGCGTGGAGTACAATCTGATTACATCTTCTGCAAAATGTTTAGTATAACTCAGATACTTTTTTCATCCTTACAGGGAAACATTCACCTCCCTGATTTCATGTTAAGATGAGAGAAACTTTTAAAGACAAGTTAGTCGAGTATGAGCGGTGAAAACTGAGTCCTCATCAGTTCCAGAGGTCTAAATGCTGCAGTTCCTTCATGCTGATGGTGCTGTTTCCAGGCAACACATATTGCGGGTCAGCTGGTGATGGATGGGATGAAAGACAAATAATGGGGAGATTAATTAACACCATTTCAAAGGAACTAAAAGAACATGTTGGATGGATTAATTCAATTTTTAATAATGTTCTGGTTTGTTGTTCCAAAATGTTCCCCTGCAACAAGTGAAATATTTTAGTTTGGTGCTCAATTATTTCCATTTGCTTTCAGGCCCTTAAAAAGATCTTGTCTCATAAAATCTTGATAAATATTTTTCCAGTTCCCTGTGATGTCTAAGCCTTTTCCACTTCACTATGCTATTTTCAGTTCACAAACACTTCCAGGGTTTTTTCGCCCTGAGCTCTGAATCTTCTCCTGAAGTTCTGCTTGTTGTTTTCTTCTTGTGTGTGCTGTGATGGACATGTTGGGGGAGGTGGCGGATGAGAGCTATGGGAACGGCAACCAGGGATGTTGCTCTTGAAGCATTAATGGCCCTGGTCTCTGCTGACCTCACCGTAACCCAGGAAAGTATTTACAACCTTCACTTGATCCATGAGGTATGGGGCTGGGACTGCTCTCTCACAGAAGTTTGCTGCCTTGATCCTGGCATAGGCTGAGCATCTAACAGCTGCTAATGAGCTGTGGGGGAGGATGACGAGGGAGGACATAGCATGCTGCTGTGAACCATATTTTGAGAGGGAATGTATTACAGTAAGTATAATTGGTCTGAGGCTGTTGGCAGTGCTTTTGCCAAGCTTCTGTTGTTTTTGACACGAAGCCTGGGTCAAAGGCTGTAAATGGCTTCAATTTGAGTTTGAATTTGGGTGGAAGATGAGTTTATAGGCAGCTGTAAAACACTGAACTTGGTATGCAGAGTAGGGATCCTGTAAAGCTGCAGTACTGAAGGATGCAGTTGTCTGGGAAGTTATAAAAGAGCAGCTGAGGAACTGCAATATTTCCATTTTAAAGGGGAAAAATAGGGGCTTCTGTTGCCACTCACTGCAGCTAGGTGTCACTTACTGGGATATCTGAATCAAAGATTCGCCTAAAGCAGCCGGTGACACCCTGGAAGTCTTTAGGGAAATATGGGTATTTCCTAACTGGTTGGCAGGTGTTTGCTGGAGGTT